CAGCAGCAGCAGCAGCAGCAACATCATCATCATCATCATCATCATCATCATCTCCTCCATCATTATCATCATCATCATCATCATCATCATCATCATCATCATCATCATCATCATCTCCTTCTTTTCCAAAAGCAAGATACAAGCATAAGCCCTGGAACATTCAAATTCCAGTTCTGGTGGCTGCAAACCCTTTAAATTTGCACATGACGCCTCTAGAAGATTGCAACTAGCTGTTTGAAAAGCCTAATCTCAAATATATAGATGACCATTTCAGATGAATGTTCAACATACAGTTTTCAATACTGATACTGCTTATTTAAAGAATTCACAGAAAAACTTCAAGGCAAATCAAAAAAGAGATTTTACTTACTTAAAAAAACTGACTATTTCTTTCTTACCTTGTACAGGGTTGTTTTGTTAGTAAAGGAAGTTCCTGTTTTATCTGAAAGAATGGAAGGTGGAAAAGGGGAGACTGAACAGAAATATGCACTACCTATCAGTTTCATTAAAACATGCATAGAAACACAAAATATATCGCACCTTCATTCAAAGAACAGTTCAGCAGAAATTTATGTCTGGCTTGAAGTTTGGTTTAGACCAGTGTTTTTCAAACTTGGCAATGTTAAGATGTGTAGACTTCAACTTCCAGAATTCCCGAGCCAGCATTTGAAAAACACTGGTTTAGACCAATGTTTATGCCGATCGAAATATAAAACCCTTTTTTTCAGGTGCTATTTCCTCCTCCTTCACGGGATCATTGACCATGCTAATCAGTTTTCTTCTTCAACTCACAGTTCTTGGTAACATTAGGGCACATATTTAAGCAATCAACATACAGAATCCAAACAATACATATATTAAAGTCAGGATCAACATTTTATGCATAAAACTGCACTGTGTGTAGGACCTGAAACATGTTGCAATCACAATTGTAAAAGAATGCAGTTGTTGGAAAAATTGGAGGAGAAACAGCGATAATTTAGAACCTCTGACATTATATAGGTTGTATTATTCAAAACCAAATGAACCAAATTAGAATAATTGAAAAAGAATACCAACCCTGCATAATGCCAGTTATACGACATTCATGCTTCCAGTTCCTTGCTAACAAAATGTGGGCATGCAAATTGCACCCTCAGCTACAATTCAGAACTGACCAACTGGCACTAGAATAGATGATAACATTATAAAATTATAATAAAGTAAAATTACTGGCACTATTGTGCCTGCCTACTTTCCATTTTGAGTGGGAAGAAGAGAAGAACACGGGATCTTTAAGTTGGAAATGTTCGCTTGTACCAAATCATTGGCATAGTTTGCGTTCATATGAAGCTGCCATCTGTGAGTGAAAACTGGAACAGTCTCAAAGTCGCTTTAATTCAATATCTTGTAAATAAATTGCCCTCTAGACTATTCCTCCCAACCGGATGCCTTCAAGGCATATTGGAATCCAGCCCAAATCTAGTGCCTACAAAGCTGCTGGGAATAATTTTTCTAGAATCCCCAGCCAGCACAGCCAGCTGGAAATCAAGTGATCATCTAAAAAACAAAAAATTGAATGATGGAATACTAGGAATACCTTCTCAAGCTTCTGAAACAAAGACAGGATATAAAACTAAAAAATAAGTAGTATACACCTGAACGGCTCCAGGTTGGAGAACTGGAGAAGGTTAAGGGAAGGATACTATATTCATTTAGGGATATCTGCGATGGTTCAGTTAAATATCATTTTGAAAACAATAGTGGGGAAAGGGGAGGCTACTAGAACCAGAGTTTAATTTTTAGTTTGCACAGTTTAGATATGTATGCCCGTTCCTATTAAATCAGCAGTGATTCTCAACATTTCATATCTTAGTCTCATTAATCACACATGTCACCCAAGAATGAAACTTATAAGTTTACAGGCACTCTGTTATGGTACTTACAGGTAATCCTCGCTTTTGTTCAGCGACCATTCGAAGTTATGATGGCACTGAACAAAGGGACTTACAAGCTGACTTGAAGTTACGGTGATCTGGGCCCTTGACAATTGGATTGCCCTTACAACTGGTTGCCGAGCACCCTGCGATCATGTGATCGCCATTTGCAATCTTCCCTCCCGCCTGCCAGAAAAGCAAACGGGGAAGCTGGCAGGGAAGGCTGCATGCCGCTGTCGCCTACCGAGAGAACTCCCTCTTCTCTCTGAGGGCTGCCTGAAAAAGTTCTGTGCCAAAATCCAAGCAGGATTTTGGGACGGGGCATTTTCAGGGAGCCCTGAAAACCTTTGTGCTGAAATCGAAGCAGGATTTTGGCATGGGGCATTTTCAGGCAGCTGCCAAAATCCTGCTTCGATTTCAGCACAAAGCCGAAACAGGCAGCCCCCAAAGCTCCACGTGCTAAACTTCCACTCATGCGCCCCTCCCTCCTATGCACCCCCTTGCTCCCTCCTCCACCCGCTCCTTCCCCCATCCTGTGTGGCTGTAAATCCTGCTCGGATTTCGGCACAAAGGTTTTTCAGGCAGCCCCCATGGGGTGTTTAGCGAACAGAGCTTTGGGGGCTGCCTAAAAAAGCTTTGTGCTGAAAATCCAAGCAGGATTTTCAACCACAGAGGATAGGAGAGGGAGCGGGTAGGGGAGGGAGCGAGGGGGTGCATGGGAGGGTCAGGTCAGTTGACATGATTGTGGGAAGCCAGCAGGAAGTTGCCTCACCTAACGACCAGGGCATTCACTTAACAACCGGGACTGCCAGGATTATGGTTGCTAAACGATGTGGTCACGTGATGTTTCACCTAACGACTTCATTGCTTAGCAACGAAAATTCCAGTCCCAATTGTGGTCATTTGGAGAGGACTACCTGTGTTATTTATAGTACAGGTATTCCTCATTGAACAACCACTTGTTCAGCAACTGTTTGAAGTTATGATGGCGCTCAATGAGTCCACACAGTTGTGGCCAACGCAGGATCCCTGCAGTCACATGACTGCCATTTGGGCACTTGGCAACTGGCTCACAATTACGATGGTTGCAGCATCCCACGGTCACATGACCACCATTTGTGACCTTCACTGGCAGTCTCTGACAAGCAAAGTCAACGGGGAAGCCAGCAGGAGGTGCAAATGGTAATCACGTGACCGTGGGACGCTGCAACTGTGCGGGATTCGCCAGATGACAGCAACGGGGACTGCTGCAACTGTCATCATAAGTCAGCACGGTCAACTCTGAGTGGTGCAATTCTTACATATTTTTGTACACTGCAGCAATCTTTTTTTTTTTCTTGAACCAGCAGCCTGATTTTCTTCTTATTACTCAAACACATTTTTTGTTCCTTACACAAAAGAAGGGAGTAGAGAAGAGAAATAATTTTGGCACCAGTATCACATTGCTCACTTTCAATACCAACAGAAACTTCATATAGGAAATTTCTAAACTTGAAATTACTTTTTTGTTTCAAAATAATGAATATATATATCAGCATTCCCCAACTGCATTAGGACTGAAACTTCCAGAATTTATAGCCAGAATGTCTTCCAGTTCCAAAAGTTGGAAGTACCAAGTTGGAGAAGGCTGCTATACATGCTTAATTATAAAAAAAACCCCTGTTTTATATAATCCCTCTGCCTATAATTCTTGAAATTTTAATTAACAGCTGTTTAAAAATTTGCAAAGAAGAATCTCAGGTCACCTTTAAACACACATTGCTAGCTGGGAACTCTGTGAGTTGAAGACCATATCCAGATGGCACTGGAGTATTTATGAAATAGTTATATTCTTTAACCTCTCATTACTTATTTGTTTAGATAGATTTTTAAGAAGTTTTGTAATAGCCAGAAACAACACCATTGTATCCCATCTGCTGTTTTCCATTTTTAAAGTGATGGGAGAGGCAAGCAAAAGAGCAAATAACAACAATGGAAGAGGCAGGACAAGCTTAAAATATACTTCCATCATCATGTTATATTTATTTATGTAATTTGTATGCCACTTCAGTTTCTACATAATGGAAGCATTAAGAATGCAATGAATACTTCCAAGTTTGGTCTAATTTTGTCATCACTAATACAATATTCTAACCTTACTGGAAACTCATGAGCTACCCCATTTCTATCACTATATATCATAAGCCAAACACGTGATTTTGCCCTATTCATAATTTCCAGTGCACTCATGTTGCTACTTTAAAATACACCCTAAGACAATTTTACTTCTAGCAAAGCTCTTTCTATAATTATAGTTATCATCCCCTATCCAAATACGATGAGACTACACTGGCCTTCTAGCCCCAATCTACCAATACAAAATTTCTGTTACACTTTTTTGGAAGATACACTGCATGTGATTCTTACAACTCCAAAATGTAGACAAAAGCTCTTCAGAAGAAAGACTAAGAGTACAATCCAGAAACTTAAAAAGTTCCAGTATTATAATTTAATAAAACAGTTCTCAAAATATTCAGAATATATGTATTAGAAAAGTAAATCTGGAAGATGTGCTTTGGATGTTATTCCAAAGAGGTGCTTCAGGGTACGGAATGTGTGGGAGATGAATGCAGCACCTGTTTGCAACCGAGGACATTATGGTCCTCCTCTGAAAAAGCATTTCCAAATTATTTCCAACATTCTTCACACCCCTATTATTTATTAGCACTGCCTCCTGCTCATGGAAAATGTTTGTCTTGAAGACTTTAGTGACTTTCCCAAATCTCTTTATTGTCATTGATATCAATGAGACTTAAGTGTGACTAACTTACTCTGCATTTAACCCCTTATCTGCAAATACAACAGATTGTGCCCTGGAAGTCCTGCCAAAATGTTTAGAATTTGTCATGGTTTTGCAGAAACAAAATCTGGAATGTTTTGGTTATTCTAGGTTTTATCTGAAAACAAAATCCAGAGGGATCTTAGAGAGATTTAATGGACTGGGTAAAGCAAGACTGACACGCTATGTTCCCTCTTTCCCTTCTTCCTCTACATGGTCTGAGTACTGGCCATCCACCCTCTGACTCTCCCAGTGTCCTTCCTGCTCTCCTCCCCCCCCCCCCCCCCGCTGCTGCCAAAGTTTGTACAGCCATCACCAAGAAAATCCCTCATCCTTAGCCTTTTTCTGCTTTTACGCCCTCAACCACTTCTGCCCAGAATAGTTGTTTTGCTTTGTACTCGGAACCAAACAGCCCTGTATCGTTCCATATATGGATCAAAACATCGAAAACCCAAATGTTGGTTTCTACATACACCATCCTAAATTAGCTGTTCTGAACATGAAATGGTTCATGCACAGAATGTCTGGTATACACCTATAAGACAGCTTTAAATCCAGAAGAAGCTGATGGAAGCAAGGAGAGAGAATTTGGTGTAGTGGCTAAAGTGCTGGGCTAGAAACTGAGCGGCCATGAGTTCTAGTCCTCTCTCAGGCATGAAGCTGGCTGGGTGACTTTGGGACAGCCTAACACACAAGAGGCAGGAGTATTAGGTATGTATGCTGCCTTTTGACCAAATAAAGGCAGGATTAAAATCTGATAAACAAATACTGTGCAAAGTATAATACTAATATTATTTGAGATTTCTTTTTGAGATCTGGCATTTTTATGAAGTTGTCAATAGAATTATAGGCACTCGATGGACCAAAATGCAGATAATACTTTTGAACCTTATTTTTACTGAAACCTCTCTCTCTCAATGTATCAAGGCCAGGATACAGAGCACTGTCTCTAGGCATGTCTAGAGTGATTTTAATATTGTTAACAGATCAACATGGCATATTACAAATTGCTTTGGGGAAAAAAATCTTTGCATTCCTGAAAGTACTTTGCCATGTTCTGTCAGGACTGTTGTGAGAAATAAAAGTCCAACACTCAAACAAATAAAAGAAGACCCCTTTCTTTATAGAAAAATGCCCTCTCTATAAATCTAACATTTTACAGGCAAGCAGGCACACAGAGGTTCCTAATTTATGTCCTTTGGATATTCTAGTTTTCTATATAATGATAAACGGCTGAACCAAAACTTACTATTTCAATAATCTATTCAATGTGCTTGCTAGACCAAAATCAAACTAAGATTAAGCCTCATCACATTCTGCTGTACACTCTCAGTATAATCTGGGAGA